GTATGATGGGATCGCACTGAAAAATACCGTGGACCCACGGAATCTTACGATTGGCCACTACGCGCAAGCCTTCTTCTCTGGTAAATCCATTACGGTCTCCTCCTTTCTTGGTCGCACGTCGGGCCCCTTTGTTTTTTTGGATTCATGCGGCCGTCAGTAACACAGATTCTGCTATCGCATGCACTAGACATGTCTTATCTCTCTCTCTCTCTCATGAGTTGCTTTCTTTCTTTTCGTGATCCACTTTCTCTCTCCTTTTTTATTTCTTCTTTTTCTTTTATAAGGCGGGAGGACAGAGTGCCCTGCACGCCTTTTCTTCCTTCTAGGTGCAACTCCCGACTTCTTCCTCGTCTTCTTCCGTAGCAATAAGGTTTATTTCTTTTTTCTGTTTCTATCTGTAAAATGGCATCATTTTGATGTTCTCAAAACGAAGTCATTTTCACCTCCTTCCCTTTTTCCTTTCTTCATATTAAAACGACGTCGTTTTGGTTTTTTCTACTTTCTAATAAGGAGATTGGTTGAATTTTTTTATCTCAATCGGATTGTTATGATAAATAGTATCATAACAATTGATGCAATAAAAAATTCAAAGGTCATCAAGACCACACTTAGGGTTGAGATTTGACATCTTCTCGAAGTGATCATTCCCCGGCTGCCCTATTTAGTTGGGGTCTTCCTCTCCTCGTGTCCTTGTACCTACATTTCATAATAAAGGGTTGAGATTTTAGTTTTATTGAATTGTTCTAACCTTTTAGATAAGCAATGGTTTCGATGAACGCAGCTCTGATACCAATTATAAAGACCCAAAATGTAATTGAATAATAACTTTAAATTTATAAGATATTAGCGGAAGCAATTAAGAATTTATGATTTACATTCCTTGTATAGTTTAATAAGAATGTCAAATAGGATTACGATAATGTTCTTTGAAGGTAATTAAAATAACAAAAAGAAAAGTGTAACTAGAAATCTTTGGGGTTAACCTCCGCTATGCAACCGGTATGAAATGGGATACAACCTTTAATTGCTAACTTTCTTACTGCTCATGATTCAAATCTTGGTCGTCCTGATTTAAAAAGGTTGCTGAAGGAGAGTGAACTATACTAACTAGTAAGAATGTCAATACTTTACTACCAATACGGAAAACCAAAAAGTTGTAAAAAATTACAAAACAATCAATGGAACTATTTTTATTTTTAGATAAATTTATTTAATTTAAAATGTTAGTTTCATACTCAACTTTTAATTTATCCTATACTGCTTATGAATGAAAGAATTAAGATAGCAATATATTATGCACTTTAAGAAACAAACAATAATCAAATTTTACCTTTTTACTTACTTATCGATGTCGTTGAGGGTTCATAAGGGTACTTACTACACAAATACCTAATATATAATATATTAATCACCCGGTCGTCCCCATACCCTGTCCAGTAATGGGCGCCAAATGTATCACTACCTTAATACCCCATCCAGTATAAGCGTGAATAAAAATACTTTCCAACCCATTACGGTATAGGATTTTTCATTTGTGTTCAACTGAGATAACGTTCACGGTAGAGTTTGCCCTATATACTGGGTTCGTACACCATTTCCCATTATGGTTTGATAAACTTAACTAACACATACATGTCCACATCATCATTTAACCATCAATTACTTGCGACAATCTCATTTTATAATTACAGTACAATATGACGATAATTAAATAGACAATGTAATCTAATACACAATAATTAAAGGAGGTGAAATCACGGCATTCGTTCAAGCCAGTTAACTGATAGAGATAAAATGGTTGAGTAAACTAATAAGTGAGAAATCAATTAAACCTAATAAATTAAAGTGCATGTAGTAGTAGTAAACAAACAAAGTAGTATAATAATAAATAAGCAGTATAGATAAACTAGAATAATTATACACTGATCAATTACCTGCTCCATCAGTTACCTCTATTTAATTAATCATGGGTTGCCACTGTTTATAAGTTTCACCGTTTATTATTTATTAAATTTTAGTTAACGTAATGGGAGAAATGATGATAGATTCTTACTCAGTATTCGAAATATCATTTTTCACTACACTTCCCAGCGGTTTTCGATTTTTAAATTTCTTGGATTTTTATGCGAAAACGAAAAAACGCTTCAGATAACACGTGAATACTCGAGAAACGACCAAAAAAGGTTTTAAAATCTTTCAAGGCTCGTTTAGGGTTCCTGCGCAGCAGTGCTGCTGTGTTTTGGCGCCGGTTCCGTCACCTATGATGCTGTCTCCTCTCGATTTGGCTGGTCCTGTCCGAAAACTTAGAAAACTCGAAGTTAGGCGACCTCTGTTGGCAAAAAAAAAATCAAGACTTATCGGCTGGTGGGGTGTGGTAATTTCGCCGTTTCTCTTTCACGGTCGGGATTTTTATTCGGTCGCCCTGCACTAGAAATGAATGAAGAATCCAATGGTCGAAAAATGAAAGGAAACGAAAAGAAAATTCAGGCTCATCGGAGGGGTTCTGGGTCGTTGGTGCGACAGCTCGACCAAGCTCTGTCCTCTATTTTTGGCTTTTTCTTTGGCTTTTCGACATCGATATGGATTTGGAGTGACAAAGAATTAAAATATAGGTCGAAAGAAAAGAAAAAATTCACCTTCCTGCGTCGGCGAGGGTTTTGTTGCGGCAGTGACGGTGGCTAACTTCTCTTTCGACTGACCTTATTCTTATTCTCTGACGGGCTTGTTGCGGTTAGGGTTAAGATTTTGGTGGATGTGGTGTTTAAATACTCCTCCCCTTTAAATTCGTACCGTCTGTTTGAGGATGCGTGACCCAATCTCTGCCGTTAGATCCGTCTTATTTGGGGAACGTATCAAGACTGTATAGTTGAATGCATTAGGACCGTTCGATTGTGCTTGAAGAATAAATAAATCTGGATTGTTCATTCATGCGCGAGTGGATTTGGGTTGTCAGATCGGTTGACATGCGGGTTGACGCGAAGCTTCCCGCGTGTCTACCATGCGGTGCACGAAGATTGGTCGCGCTGCTGACATGGCGGTCCTAGATGGCCACTTTTCAAAATTTTTTCACTTTTGCTCCAATTTTTTGATTTTTTTTTTCGAAAAGGTCATTTTTTATTTATAGTTTGACCATGACTTTTAATTTTTTTTAGTATAAATTAAAATATAAATTTTCTAATTTTATTACTAATATAATTTTAATTATCTCGATCTTAAATTCCGAACTTTGGTGTTACATTACGTTTATGGCTTAAGAAAAAACTAATTCACAAATATGAATTATTTTGTGGGGAATTAATATTAAAATGCAATATAGTTTATATGCTTACTATGTGGTTTTTAAATGAATAAATATATTTTTTAACATAAAAACTATGTATTATTTTGATTTTATGATTTAAAAGTATTAAAATTTAAAAATAATTACAACAAAGATCTAGATCAAACTTTCAAGTATTTATATTTTTAAATAAATTAAAATTAATTTATTACGTAATTATTAGTTAATTGAAATTAGTTTGATTACTACCTTTATAAATAATAAAATTTTTATAAAATATTATTCGTATTTTCACTGACAAATGCAATCTAAAGACATTGTACCACCGCAACCTCTAAACCCTAAAATGAAATTAAAATAATAATAATAATAATAAAAACTCCATATTTTTAAATGTTACAAAAACAGAAATAAATATTAAATGTGCGAGTCAAGGGCGTTTCTTACACGCTCCAGTACATGGGGATCGAAGATGGATGCGCAGCGTGGGAACACAGGCACGCGCTACTGTTGTCGCTTCAGAACACGCGCCAGAACTAATTTATTCCTAATTTTTCATTAATTATATCGAGTAGTTTCATTTATGTTTTATTTTAATTAAAATAAAATATATAGATATATTTAATTTTACATTTTAAAATAATATATAAATATTTTAAATGATTAGTCTTGATTAATTAATAATTAATTTTATGAGTAGAAATGTTAATATTTCTATATATTTTTTTAGAAATAATTAATAATTATAAAGAAAATTAGTTCCTATATTTAAAAGAAAAAATGGAAAAAAAAAAAGAAAATGAGAGGATGTCATGTGACCTGAAACAAGCCATAAAACTACAAGAACAAGAGAACAAAAGTCTTTATATTCTGCTTTTCCCTCTCCATTTTTTTTAATTTCTTTCTCTTTCTATGCATTTCTGCTATTATAGTTAGTGCGATTATTGGAGAGAGAGACAGTGAGAGGTAGAGAGGAACCCACCTCAGTTTTCGCTTTTTAGGAGTAAGCAGCTACTGTATTGTATATTATATATCATCATGTGTAAAAGAATTTAGAGAGAGAAACACGAAAAGAGCTGAGTGATTAAGTGGGTGTTTACTGTTTAGACAGAAAAGAGTGACACATAAAAGGAAGAGGAAGAAGAAGAAGAACAAGAAGAAGAAAGAAGAAAGAAGAAGAAAACGATGATGGTGATGATGATGAAGAGAGAGAAAGGTGGTTGGCAGAACAGATAACAACAACAGAAGATAATACACAGACCCAAGATAGATTTTGAGAGAGAGAGAGAGAGAGAGAGATAGAGAGAGAGAAAGAGAGAAAAGA